AATAGGTTTTGCTTTTAAAACAAGTTTGTGATTAATTATGATTTACAAAGCCTGGGTTAGAACAGAAATACTAATAGCACATATTTAGATATACTGAACATAAAAAGAAAGCGATAGATAGATAGATAGATAGATAGATAGATAGATAGATAGATAGATAGACAGACAGACAGACAGACAGACAGACACAGAAAGACAGACAGATATTATGAAGTGTCTGTGTACATCTTTACTGAACACAGAATGAAAATAAGTTTCTTAGCATATAGAGTTACTATAGTTACTAAGTATATTATAGTTACTAAGGAGTGCCTTTGACAATGACTGTTTATAGTTAAAACACTAATGAAAAACTATAAAGAGGAAGCAAGGAAAAATCATAATGAGGTGAAAGGTGACTTTGGGGAAATGAAGTAACAGATTCAGAATATGGATGTGAGCTTAGGAAACTTTCAGCAAATGATAACAAAAAATTAACAAAGGATTCAGAAAATAGAGGACAAATCAGAAGAAGCCGAGAAAAAAATGGAGGAAATAAATAAAAAATGGACACAAGCAAATAAAAACCTGGAGGAGACAGTCATAATTCTAGAAATGGAGAAAGTGGCTCATTTCTTAAGATTCCAGAATATAGAGGAAGAAAAAGAAGAGGACCTCCTAGAAGTGATGATAGAGTTGTTGGCGGGTGCCCTAGAGATAGGGAAACAAGAGATTGGGGGGGGGGGGAGATAGATGAAATATTTAGAATCAACATGATTTATGCAAGGAGACATAAGGTCCCTAGAGAAGTGCATATGAGATTCGTTAAAAAAAATCAACAAGACATGAAATATTAAAAAGGGTAAGAGATGATCTATGCAATATAGAGGGAAAGAAATTGTGGTTCTGAAAGGAGGGTAAGAAATTCACGGAAACAGTATCAATTTTTGACTGTTAAACTGATTAAAAGAGCAGTAAATTTTAGATGATTGATACTGCAGGGAATATTAGTTAATTGGGACAATAAAAGATATAGATTGGACTTGTTAGTTAAGGCAATAGAATTTTACGATAGTTACATTGTCACAAATGAAGGAAAAGAAACAAGAGGAGAACTGGAATGTAAAAGACAGGAGGAATTAACAGGAGAAGAGAGAAACACACAAGAAGAAGGAGAAGCAGAGAAAGCAGAATGAGAAGGAGCAAGGGCAAAAGACCAGAGACAAATAAGACCAACTAGGAGAATAAGATCTATATATATATATATATATATATATATATATATATATATATATATAAGTAAAGGAGATGGATGGGGAAAATGAGATGTTGTCAATAAATAAACAAATATATGCAGATGAAGGAAGAATTTTAATGCTTGAAATAGTGATGAACCAAAACCAGATATTTTTGATAGCAATATATGCACCGAACAATAGACAAGAAGAATTGTATAAAAAACTACACAAGAAGATATTAGAAATGGAATATCAAAATATTTGTGTTATAAGAGATTTCAATGCAATTGTAGATGCAAAACTAGGCCGTAGGAGCAGCAACACAGGAAAAAAGGAAAGAAAGATACCCCCTAAGACATTTTTTAAAATGGCAGAAAAACTTGTATACAGGACACATGGAGAGAAATGAACCCCGGGGAAAAATCAATACACATTCTACTCAAATAGACATAAATCATGGTCCAGAATAGAAATGATATGGATGTCACCTGAACTAAGAACCAAATTTCAAGAGATAGAAAAGAAACCAATATATGGGCCGACCATAACCCTATAAAAGTAAGCTGGAAAGAAGAAAAGAAAAGGCTGAGATGGACATTGAACCAATCTATACTAAAAGAGAAAGAGTTATGAAAACAATAGTAAAAGAAATGGAATTCTTCCTCAAAGAAAACACAAAAAAGATACAACACTGCAAAATTTATGGGATACAACTAAAGCATATATTAGGGGATTAGCTATAATATATAGCGAGAAAGAATAAGAAAAAAGCAACATCAAAAAACATTAAGAGAACATGAAAAACTTGAATCAGAATTATAAATAGATCCACAAAAGAAAACTTTAAAAAATCAAATGGAAATCATAAAACATAAATTACATCTGATAGAAAAATAAGAATTGGCGCAACAAATTAAAAGAGCAAAACAAAACTTTTTGAAAATGCTAATAAGCTGGGAACACGGTTAGCCTATAAACTGAAAAAAAAGAGAAGAAACTGATAAGTAAACTACAAGATGTGAAAGGAAACCTACAGTTTCAAAAAGATAAAAAAATAAATAATTGAGGAATTTTATGAAAAATTATATGATAAAGAAAAAATCCTGGAGGAAAAGATAATACAATACTTGGGAAAAGCTAAACTACCAAAAGTGCCTGAAAACATTAAAATTATATTAAATGAAAAAATAAAGATGATGGAGCTGATGGAGGTGATGGAGGTGATAAAGAGACAAAACAAATAACTCCCCTGGATGGACTACCAGCAGAAATATATAAACATTTACAAGACACACTGAGTTTACAATAAGGTATTGCTAAGATGCCAAACACTTGGATAGAAGCAAATATTATCTAATCCCGAAAGAAGACTCAGACCTCACAGATAAAGAACTATTTATTTATTGAATTTATATTGATGCCTATTCTCTCATGGTGACTCAAGGCGGCTTACAGAATATAAAACCACATTTAAAACAACAAAAACTAATAAAAAGAATCAAATAAATTAATATAGTAGGATATAACAAAACCACCCCCACCCTGGTGAGAGCAGATCACATGAGCCATTTAATGGGCTCCATCCTGCTCTGGGTTCCCCAGACCTGCTGGCAGAACCAGGTCTTCAGCACCTTCTGGAAGAGTATTAGAGTATTAGCGCGGGCCCTTCTAATCTCCTGGGGAATAATGTTCCAGAGAGAAGGAGCCACCATAGAGAAGGCTCTTCTTCTGGGTCCCACCAGGTGTATCTCCCTTGGGGATGGAACCCACAACATTCGCTGCCTGCCCGCTCTAATGGATTGGGTAGATGTGACTGGCAAGACATTGTCCCTCAGATAACCTGGTCCCAAGCCATGAAGGGCTTTAAAGGTGACAACCAGCACCTTGAATCGCACCTGGAAGCAAATTGGCAACCAATGGAGCTCCCGCAGGAGAGGTGATACATGTGCACATCAGGGTCTGCACAAAACCATGTGGGTCACTGCATTTTGCACCAACTGGAGCATCCAAATGCTCTTCAAGGGCAGCCCCATGTAGAGCACATTCAGGGGTGGGATTCAACCGGTGTTACTACCAGTACAGTGACTACATTTTGCGCTGCACACGCGTGTAAAAAACCTTAAGCTGTACCACTTGGACAGCTGAAAAGTGCTATGCGCAGGTGCGCAGCTTTTGAAAAGCCACTTTTTTCCTGCTTTTTCAACCTCAGCTGTGCCGTGCAAAACAGCTGAGGTTGAAAAAGCAGGAAATAAAGAGCCCCGGCGGCCAGGTGGGCCAAACAGCAGCAAACACAGAACCGGTTCGGTGTCTGCTGCTCTTCAGAGCTACTGGTTCTATAGAGCCAGGCAGAACTGGTAGCATCCCACCCCTGAGCGCATTGCAATAGTCAAGACGGGAAGTGACTAGGGCATGAGTGACTGTGAATAGGGACTGATGGTCCAGGAAAGGGCACAACTGGCACACAACCCACAGTTGCGCAAACTCTTCAAGCAGGAGTTGTGAGTCTAGGAAAACCCTTAGATTATCCACAGGATCTGTTTGGGGTAGTGCCATCCCATCCAAGGCCAAAGGTGTCAATTCTCCCTGAGCCAACGAACCCCAAACCCAGAGCCTCTCGGTCTTGCAAGGGTTTCGTTTCAGCCCATTGCTCCCCATCCAGCTCCCTTACAGCCTCTAGGCACTGCGAGAGGGAGGGCACAGCATTACTATAGGCCAACGTCACTATTAAATTCAGATTACAAAATATTTGCATCAAATCATGGCAGAGAGACTTAAAAGATTTTTAAATGAATTTATTCATCCAGATCAAAATGGATTCCTGCCAAAAAGACAAATTAAAAACAACGTAAGATTTATTCTAGATAAATTCTAGAATACTGTAGATATTAGAATACTAGAAGATAAAAGAGAAAGAAGACACAGGCTATTTTCAAACATGGGACTTGTTTTAACAAATGGCTAGACAACAGAGGTAGAAACTAGGATCTGGGACAATAGTACTATGTAAGCAAATTAACACAGAAACATGCCGTTCACAAAGCACATATGTATGTAAAGAGAAAATGTATAAATAAATAATAATTATAATAATGAAAAGAACTTGTGAATTCTCCAGCACTGGAAGTTTATAAGAAGAGATTGGAGAACCATTTGTCTGAAATGATATAGGGTTTCCTGCCTAATCCGGGGGTTGGACTAAAAGACCTCCAAGGTCCTTTCTAACTTTGTTATTCTACGAGGGCTATCCACAAAGTAGATTACGTTTTCGTCTGTAGCAAGAAGGGGTGGAGCTAGCGCGGCCATCTTTGGTCTGTGCGTCCACCGCTCAGTCTGCAAAAACATGTTTCTAATTCTATGATCAAGTTGTCAATACAATGTACAGGAAAACCAATTAAACTACCTTCTTTTCTGGAAATGGAGAACAACCTACTTGGGCAGACTTTTCAAGATTTTACAGCATGTTTTTCATTATTATCTCACCAGTTCTCAGTTTGTGGGGGAGGGTGTTAATCTCTGTGACAAATGGAAAATAGTTCCTAGCCATCTTTTTGTCATTTATGAAAACTGCATGAAACAGAATTAATCTTGAGAAGGAGCAACATAAAGCAGAATACTATAAGCAGCAGAATACCAGAAGACAGATGAAAATTTCAAAATATGTTTAAATGTTACACACAATTTTATTAAAGTGCTGTATATAGTTTTTAATCTGTAAATGTTCTAATAGTATTGGCCTAACATTGTCATGCATGTTAACTTTTGTATTAAAAATTCCATACTCACCCGTAAGAAAAATGGAAATTTCTTTCCATAAAATCCAACTCTGAAAAACTCTGGCTCCAAACGTTGCTGATCCATAATTTTATCATATAAAGAAGCTTCCATCAACTGTGTGGATTTAGATAAATAAACAAATGAGAAAGAAGGACATTTTGTGTACTTTTTATGTACTAATCAAAAGAGCAAAACAAGAAATATAATTCAACTGTGATCTATATACCTATAGATATCAAGAAATTATTTCAATCCAATGGTTATATAAAAATGGTACTAGATAGAGTTTTGGATTTATCAAAAGAAACAGCACTTGTTTGGCTCCTCCTTCATTCTCTCTTTTGATTTGTATTCTTTTTGTATTCTTTTTTTGTATTCTTTTTCAATCATACACGTATGGTATACTATGGTGTTGTGGGGATTCAAAAGTTCAACTGAAGGACTCCTTCAAAGCTATTTCACAAAGTGCTATGGCATAGCACTTCATGATGCAAAGTGTTATATCATGTTGCTTTAACTTCGTTCTGCTTTGCACAGTTACAGGAAAAATGAAGGAAGTGCTACTGTTTGCCAAAGGTTTAGCGTAGAAGCAATGATGGTTGCATCCTCTGGTATGCTTGCCAAAGGAGAAGGAAAAATGGTGCCATCACTGAAGTGTTACAGAGCTCATGTAGTCACTTCCTCCAGGTTACGCAGAAACTTTCAGCAAGTACTGCAGAAGATGTGCCATTCAGTTTCTCCAAATCATTAACTGAAATACTTTGGCGAGCATTATAGAAGACATACCACACACCTCCTCTAACATAGTTTGGATCAGTGGTGGGATTCAAATTTTTTTTACTACCAGTTCTGTGGGTGTGGCTTGGTGGGCATGGCTTGGTGGGTGTAGCTTGGTGGACGTGGCAGGGGAAGGATACTGTAAAATCTCCATTCCCTCCCCACTCCTGGGGGAAGGTTACTGCAAAAACCCATTCCCTCCCCCTCCCACTAACCTGCTTTCCAGCTCCATTCTCTTGTGCAGGGCAACAAAAGAAGACCCAGCCGATCAGCTGGGACTCGGGAAGTAGAGAATAGATGGGGTCGGGGCCAGGCAGAGGTGGTATTTGCCGGTTCTCCAAACTACTCAAAATTTCCACAACCGTTTCTCTAGAACTGGTCAGAACCTGCTGAATACCACCTCTGATTTGCATGAATATTTAGCAAGCTGTACCAGAAAACACATTAGTCTGCCTTTTCTGGCTTGTGTTTTGGTGCAATGCCTATAAAAACCCTCTCTTCTATTTTTGGCAAATGACAAATAGAATGTGATGAGCAATTGTTTAAATCAAAGTAACTCAGGATTGATTTTGTGACTGTGGTCTAGACCTCTCATTTCCTGGCTCTATAGTCACCGGCTATCAGATCACTTGTGTATAAAGACAAGAGTCCAGTCAATTGCTGCTCAGTTTCCTATAGACTGTATAGCAAACCACCTTGCCTCTGAAGATGCCAGCCATATTTGCTGGTGAAACATCAGAAGCTCTGTAATGGTTAATGGTTGCTAAATCCTGAAGCCCAACACTGCCCAACAGATATCAGCCACGAAAGCCTACACTCATATAACCCTAGATTCATTTGCACAATCCTAGTTTGTTTATTCATTACATTTTTAAAACCATCCAATAGCTGAAATTCATACAATAGCCATTGATACTATACCTTAAAACAAGACAGTATCACACTTACATTCTTAGTTTCACCCATAGAAGATGAATAAATTTTATATCTCTGTTTGATTATCAAGTACCTGATTCAGCTGGAACTGACAACCCAAAATTAATAAGGCAGGCGCCTTGGGCATCACACAATATTTTTGCCTTTTTAAGGTTACTATTGTCATTTTTATCTACCTTTGCTTCAAGGGATCATCTTAAATTCAGAGCTATCCTCACTGTGGGTAAAAATGTAATATAATTGTGAAAGACTGTACTGTATGAATAATATTTATATTTTAAAAATTCAATTTCATTACCCGCATCTTGCTGAGATTTCTGTAGTCATAATAGCTTTCATATTGCTCAGCAATCTTCCTACATAAAATAATACCATTTTCCCAGCACTGTAGACAAATAAGAAAGAGAAGGTTTCATCAGAGAGAAGAATCTGAAGGTTTTTATCTGTTCCAAACAAATTTTCAAGTGTCTCCTGTTAGCAGTTCAATCTCTACCTTAACAATCACTAATATTATCCAAAAGGAAGGGAACAGTGCTTATGAATATTGTCAATACATTAAATATAATTAAATTTCACTCACAGATGTTCAGAACAACTGACTTGCCAGGTACCTAGACTGTCTCATTCATATACTATTGAATTTGCCATGGGCAAAGCTGTGCACGTAGCCTTATTCAAATATTTGGTATATGTAGCATAGAGGAGAGTCAGAGAAAGTACCACTAATGCTGGTTTAAATCACTTTGCTCCTTGAAGCAGAGCTTATATATAGGCTTTCCTCTCTACTAGGGTCAAAATCTTTGCTTGATTAGTGCTTGCAACATGCTGTGTCAATGGTTCTGTCTACATTAGGTTGATTAAAATATACATGTTTAAGCAGATGAGCATAGGCTAGGTCCATATGATCAATATTTTTCACGACCCAATTCACTGCAAGGGCACAGAGTAGTTCAATTCTTCTCCACGTATATGTTTTTTAAGATATTCACTCCAAACAGAGTTTAATGTAAAAAAATAGTATTATTTTTCTAAAGAGCATACCACAATTAAAGAGAAATCACTTCTACAGTACAAAGATTCTCAAAATCCATCTCACTATCTATGCATCAGTGTAACTGTTGGGGAAACATTTACATGAAACTGCAGAATGATCCAAGAACTGGGAACTGCTGACACAGAAGACTGAGTCTTAGCTGGAAATGGGCAGAGAGAAGGGCATATGACATTGCGTGCATAATGACATTATTTGTACAAATATATACTTGAGCAGGGGTGTAAAACTCGCACCCCGCAGGCCGAATGTGTCATGTGCAGGCCATGCCCATTCCGGCTCCGCAAAGTCAAAAATCATCGCTATACGTCACAATACGTCATGTGACATGACCGAGTTTGACACCCGTGTACTTGAGTCATGTGATGCAAGTCTGTAACTCACTTATTTGCAAAATGTTGGTTTCATTGAGGCTTCTATCAGACCTCTATGCATGGAAAACTATATATGAAACTGGTATTCATTTATCAAGATATTTGTAATAAAGGCTCTACTTCTCTACCTATGTCTCCCAGTTGAAGAGGGAGGAAGAAAAACAAAGTCAAAGATTCTACAATTCTTTCTTATCCATCACACTGAAAGACGCCACTGCATAAATTTCATAAAACAAAACTAGACCCCAAGGAGAGGCTTTTAGTTACAAAAGGGGTAGGAATACCCACAGGGCTTTTCAAACAATCTTACTATGAATTGCTTGTATAGGACTATTTAGTTTCCAAAGTAATTCAAAATAAAATTGCACACCCTGGCATCCATTTTGCTCAAGAAACAAAAAGCCCAAACCCCTTGCAGAAATAGTGTGTGAATTCTTCTATCCCAATTCATCAGGGGCTTAGAATACAACAGAAATCAAACAACCAGTAGATATATATTAAATTCATAATCAAAACCTCATATTTTAGCATTACAATTGAGTGCACAAAATTTTAGCTAAAACAATCAAATTTGAAATATACTTGTTTTTTTTATTGAAGTAGACCTTGTCATTTTAAGAACATCATAGAATTTAAAAATACATAATGCAGGACACAGTAGGTACAAATGTTGGATCAAAGATGAATCATCCTTGTTTTTAAAAAAACAATTTGAACAACTTGAACCTATCTGAAAAATATATATTAAATGAAATATGTGTATGGGGTACAGGTTGAGTATTTCCCTTAAACAGTCAACTTCACATTTCATATGACTATATGCAATTTAATTTGCATATCAAATATGCTGTATCTCAAACAATAGATGGCAAGCAATATTAATAATTAATTGTTCAAAAGAATGTAGTAGCAAATAAGAAAAATAGCAGCCAAAACTTTCTTACTTTTCCCCTGTCAAAATTCTGGATGATCGTGAGATGAAGAAATTCTTTGCGCTGCCATTCTGACTGCATGGGATAGCTCAGGAATTCCCGCAATGGTCTGTCTGACCATTCCAACAGTTCATCATACAGCAAGAGTGTATAGGCAGCCTCTATCAAGTTTTACAAACAAACATGAAACAATTTTAATGTACACACAGTTAACAGAAAAATATGTATTTCATAAATAATTGATACGTTACTAAATGATTTGCTCGTTGGTGTTAAGACAGCAATTGTATATAGATGTCAGGATAAAGTAACGAGAATGAAACCAGCTTTGCCTATTCAAGTTTCTCTCCTTTTCTTTTTTTCTGCAGGAGACCAGTGCTTTTGCTTCCGATTTTATTTAACTGTTATTTAGTTAAATAAAAAAACAAATATTAAATTATTATTAATCTTGACACTGGATTATGGAAGGAGAACGGTTTCATTAACGGTTTTAAGACAGCATGTTAGGGTTTGAGGATTAACCCCTAGCAGAGTATTGCAGCAGTAG